ACTTTGGAGGCAGGCGGCTGGTGTTGCAGCCTATTAACTGAGAGTCACAGTGACTGTGCCCGGAGGGGGTCTGCACTGTCGGGTTCCTGGGTCCTCGGATGTGTGTTTCCTGCTACGGCAGGAGGAGACAAGCTCCCATCGGCCCCGCCTGCAGTCCGTGAGCATTCTGATGGCTCCCTGAGATGTCTGATATTTGGTATTTTGGCGCCGTCTTCACCTTGTGGTTTGGGTGAAAGGGTACAGAGCGAGTTCATTTTCCACCCAATGCGTCAGACAAGTTTTTGTCCCATGGCCTCAGCTGCATTGCACCCCTGCAAAGTCGTTTGTTAACCCTGGGGTTATATCACTCCCTGGGAGCCCCATGGGGTGGGTGGGGAGCAGCTGCATCCGCAGAGATTCTGGGAGATCACACAAATGTTTTTAAGGGTATGAGGTGGGGTGGTGGTGGCCCTACATTAACTTTTTTTCTGAGAAGGGGGCGGGAGGGCAAGTCCATGCGTGAACCTGTGGGGGAAGCTGTTGGGATGTTTTCAATGCTCTCGGACGCTGGTTCACCAGGAAAAATCAAAGCACGAACTCAACCCGGAGAGTGAGCATTAGTTACAGGTCTGCTTCTGAGGTCACGTGCCCTTACCCGGTCTGCTGCTGACCACCTGACTTTCACTGTCCCCGCCCTCGGAGGCTGGCTGGGCATTTGTCCCACTGCCTCCCTCACGCAGCGTCCCCGCCTGCCCGCCCGGTGAACGTCTGCCCTGGGCTGCTCCTGGGCCAGTGTCCAGCAGTGACCTGCTTCTGCTTCCGAATGCTGCCCAGTGCTCCTCAGAGCCACCCACCACCGCATGACACAGCTTCTGTCCTGTGTGTGCTTGCCTCCCTGTCTGGACCATGTTGGTGGGTCCTTCACGCCGTCAAGGCGCGGCTGAGAAGGCCGAAGCAGACCACACTTCATCAACGAGGTGCTGGAGCCTCTCGTGCCACCACGAGCCCCGGCAGTGTCCCCGGAACTCCAGGGCAGCAGGAAGAGGCAGCCGAGGAGCCAGCGTCTGCGCAGGGCATTCCAGGTGCTGCCACCACCTTTTCCGAAGTAAGAACAGAGTCCAAGTCAGTCCCCAAGGAACTGGGACCAAAAGAGAGCCACCCCAGGCAGCACTCAGTCACGACCCGTCCCTCCCTCCTGGCAGCGGTAGGCTGTCAGCAGGTGACCCCCTCTGGTCTTAGTGGGGATGGCATCATCAGCTAGGGTGTTTGACAACCCAGTTGTCACTGGGTAGCCTGGGGATCCCCCTGGGCTCAGGAATGAAATATTTGGGGAAATTGGCTTAACAACACCGCCCCCAAGTGGTATCCTTGGTTCAGTGTTCTAACAGTAACACCCCAAAACACCATACCAACTCACCCTGTAGGACAAGGTAGAATGGGCCCTGTGCGTTTCTGCAGCTGTAAGTTTTCGTGGGAGCAAACAGCCTCGTCTTTCTCCCTCAAGGTGGCTGGTAGGTTTGAACTACTGGCCTGGTGGTGGGCAGCTCAAGGCATACCCACTATGCCACCAGGTGTTGAGAGGCTGTGCACCAAGACGTAGCCGCACTCACTCCACCGTGCAGGGATGGAGTGCAGGTCCCTCAGAGGGACTGAGTTCATGAAGGATGTCGAATGTGGACTGCCACCCAGTCCTTTCTGGACACCGAGGGCAGACTGACTGCTCCCAGGCCTGACGTATGACATGGGTCAGCCTTACAAGCTGGGGCCCAAGAGGGAAGCCCTTTAGAATTCACTAAACCCAGCCCTTCCCTAAGAGGAAACCTGGCAGGCAGCCAAGCTGCTGCTACCCTGTTTCCCCGAAAATAAGACAATGTCTCTTTTTTTTTGGCATCTTCAGGAGCGCTTTGCTTATTTCTCCATGTACAATTGGTGATTAGTTTTCTTTTTTGTTGTTCTAGTAGCTTTTTAAAAATTGTTTTATTAGGGGGTCATACAACTCTTATCACAATCCATACATACATCAATTGTGTAAAGCACATTTTGTACATTAATTGCCCTCATCATTCTCAAAGCATTTCCTCTCCACTTAAGCCCCCGGCATTAGGTCCTCATTTTTCCCCACCCTCCCTGCTCCCCCCTCCCTCATGAGCCCTTGATAATTTAT